ATATTGACATATGTGGTGACTATGTTTGAGTGGATATTGACATGTGTGGTGACTATGTTTGAGTGGATATTGACATGTGAGGTGACTATGTTTGAGTGGATATTGACATGTGAGGTGACTGTGTTTGAGTGGATATTGACATATGTGGTGACTATGTTTGAGTGGATATTAACATGTGTGGTGACTATGTTTGAGTGTATATTGACATGTGAGGTGACTGTGTTTGAGTTGATATTGACATATGTGGTGACTAGGTTTGAGTGGATATTAACATGTGTTGTGACTATGTTTGAGTGGATATTAACATGTGGGGGGACTATGTTTGAGTGGATATTAACATGTGTGTGGATATTGACATGTGTGGTGACTGTGTTTCAGTGTATATTGACATGTGAGGTGACTATGTTTGTGTGGATATTGACATGTGTGGTGACTTTGTTTCAGTATATATTGACATGTGAGGTGACTATGTTTCAGTGTATATTGACATCTGTGTTTGAGTGGATATTGACATGTGTGGTGACTATCTTTGAGTGGATATTGACATATGTGGTGACTATGTTTCAGTGTATATTGACATGTGTTGTGACTATGTTTGAGTGTATATTGACATGTGTTGTGACTATGTTTGAGTGGATATTGACATGTGTGGTGACTGTGTTTCAGTGTATATTGACATGTGAGGTGACTATGTTTGTGTGGATATTGACATGTGTGGTGACTATCTTTGGGTGGATATTGACATATGTGGTGACTATGTTTGAGTGTATATTGACATGTGTTGTGTATGTTTCAGTGTATATTGACATGTGTGGTGACTATGTTTGAGTGGATATTGTCATGTGTGGTGACTGTGTTTCAGTGTATATTGACATGTGAGGTGACTATGCTTGAGTGGATATTGACATGTGTGGTGACTATCTTTGAGTGGATATTGACATATTTGGTGACTATGTTTCAGTGTATATTGACATGTGTTGTGACTATGTTTGACTTGATATTGAAATGTGTGGTGACTATATTTGAGTGGATATTGACATGTGTGGTGACTATGTTTGAGTGGATATTAACATGTGTGGTGACTATGTTTGAGTGGATATTAACATGTGTGGTGACTATGTTTGAGAGGATATAAGCATGTGTGGTGTATGTTTGAGTGTATATTGACATGTGTGGTGACTATGTTTGAGTGGAAATTTACATGTGTGGTGACTATGTTTGAGAGGATATAAACATGTGTGGTGTATGTTTGAGTGTATATTGACATGTGTGGTGACTATGTTTGAGTGGATATTAACATGTGTGGTGACTATGTTTTAGTGTATATTGACATGTGTGGTGACTATGTTTGAGTGTGGATATTGACATGTGTGGTGACTATCTTTGAGTGTGGATATTGACATGTGAGGTGACTATGTTTGAGTGGATATTGACATGTGTGGTGACTATCTTTGAGTGTGGATATTGACATGTGAGGTGACTATGTTTGAGTGGATATTGACATGTGAGGTGACTATGTTTGTGTGGATATTGACATGTGTGGTGACTATGTTTGAGTGTGGATATTGACATGTGTGGTGACTATGTTTGAGTGGATATTGACATGTGAGGTGACTATGTTTCAGTGGATATTGACATGTGTGGTGACTATGTTTGAGTGGATATTGACATGTGTGGTGTATGTTTCAGTGTATATTGACATGTGTGGTGACTATGTTTGAAAGGATGCAACATTTTAGATTTATTAGATATATGTACATGTAAAATAAGGATTATTGAGTGAAAGGTAAGAATGATCAAGATGTGTTTACCTGCATGTTTAATTGATGTGCATGTTTGGATGTATGGTATATATGTGTGGTGAGTGAGAGCCCTCCTGTGCGGGGACATGATTTATATATGAAGGCTGACCCGAAGGCCCCAACCTTGGCAGCCTTCCAACGTATACATGTCTGGGCATTAAATGGTTTGTGTGTTAAAAAAAATATTAATAAGATTTGTTAAAACTAAACAATTTTGATGGGTAGCTCGATAGGGTCACAACCACAAGATACTGATGTATTTATTGCTAATTTAAACTTTTAAACTGTTATCTCTTTCTCCATAGACATAACAATCACACAATTCATTTTGTTTGAGAATCTGTTCTATCCGTCTAACAAGAAAAATCCAACTCTTGCCATGTTAATCTTCCTTGGATATTAATCTTCAAATTGTTGGTCAGTATCATTTAGAAGTAGAAGAGAGATTATTTGCTATGGCATAATATAACAATAAATTGTACTTAAATAACTAGTCACTGTTTTTACCTGGTGCGTATATGTAGGATACTATAGTAATTAAGTATACAATTATTGTTTAAATGGAAACAGTTGGTGGACACACTGGAACATACATTATATGTGAAATTGATTTATTCAGAAATAAACTTTTTATCTCACAGTTAGTTATGAGTTTTTGGCTATAGGGTTCCTTTAAAACTGTACTGTATACAGATTATAATAAATATAGTAAAATTAAGTAAACATTAAGGTACCAGAACAGGCTTAGAAAGCTATATGTGCTATCTCATTAAAGAATACGTATAAAGTGACCGTATGAAAATGGATAACTTAAAAACTGCATGGTTACTATGCGAAAAATTACAAACTAGCCAGATGACTATGAGCCCGGGGCGTGTGTTCGAATTAACAATAACATCAACTTGCTACATCCAGTCCGTTAATGCATTAACAACCTGTGCACAAAAGAATGATCCTGGAATTCCAAGCTTGATACATGTTGGACACTGTAATTTGGCATCTTTACTACAGCCTGGTGTTTCACATAATCGTGCTACAATGGGCGCAGCCATTTTTATCAAAACACCGGAAATGACAAGAGTTATCTTTCTTAGAGTGCGCGTTCGATCCGAATAATTTTTCGCAACGATGAGGCTTCTTGTCGCAACCTATATTTGTGCTTATTTAGCTTGAATAGTCAACAGCATTTCGCTAGTCACATCTGACGTCATTCATATCGTCGATTAATCCTCCCCCCCCCCAAAAAAAATGCTCAAGCTTCAAACTGACATTGCATTAACATTTTCTATTTGTGTTTGTTGCGTTTTTTTCCGGTTGCATTGCTGTCAAACATACAGGAATTCAAAAATAAAAGTCCATTTTTGTGCCAATGACTTTTCATTTCCCTTTTACAAGAAAACAAAGAAAAATCAACAATGAATTTATCACTTTTGAAGTGTTATTTAAAACTGTTGTATAACACTGAGCATGGGGAATCAAAAGTATAGCCAGACAAAAAGAATATACATGTATATACTGTTGGTTTGTCAAAAAGTTGCGTCGGAATTGTATTAAAAAGATTGAACTATTAAATTGACCAAAAATAACTCTCAAGTTGACTTTTTTTTTCTAAAGACAGGACGTGTATTAGATTCTTATAGCTCCATTTGTTAATGACAAATTGGAAATTTTTTGAACGTGTAGTCTATAAACATATTTACAACTTTTTTAACTCTAATAATCTTACTTACAAATTTCAGTCTGGATTCTTACCCAATCATTCTTGTACGCATCAACTCATTGAAATGTACCATTCTATGATGTTAGCATTAGAAAACCATGAACATATAGCTTTTACTTTTTGTGATTTTTCAAAGGCCTTCGATCGAGTTTGGCATAGAGGGCTTTTATACAAACTTCAACAACATGGTATTTCAGGCAGTCTTCTTAATTGGATAACAAACTATCTTTTTGAGCGTAAGCAATCCGTCTTTATTCACGATTCTCATTCTTCTGTAAGAAATATAAACGCCGGTGTTCCCCAAGGTTCAGTGTTAGGCCCTTTATTCTTCTTGATTTATATTAACGACATTTCAACCGAACTCTCCTCATTATCTCGTCTTTTTGCTGACGATACGTCGCTTTCATACTCATCACCAAACCTAGAAAATATTGTAAGTGAAGTAAATAAAGACCTAAAAACTCTAGAGAAATGGTCTAAAAATTGGCTGATGTCTTTCAATCCTAAAAAAACCGAAATCATGATTGTTTCTAATACAAATCTACCCTTTCAACCCCAATTTATTTTTAACGATACTTCTATCCTTTTAACAGATAGCCACAAACACCTTGGAGTTATACTAAGTAGCGACGGTAAATGGAATAAACATGTAGACGAACTTATCAAAAAAGTGGCTAAATATATAGCAACCCTTCGTAAAATGAAATGGTTACTCAGTAGAAATAACCTTGAAAAACTATATTTAACGTACATTCGACCATTATTAGAATATGCATGTGAAGTCTGGGACAATTGTGGAATGACAAATTCATCAAAACTTGAAAATATTCAGATAGATGCTGCACGAATTGTTACAGGACTACCTATTTACACAAAAATTGAACATATATTTAATGAAATTGGCTGGGTTCCACTAAGTAATAGAAGGAAAAACAGAAAATTGTCCCTATTCTTTACAATTAAAAACGGTACAGCTCCTAATTATTTGTGTGACACCTTACCAGATAGCATTGGGGATATTTCTCGTTATAACCTAAGAAATTCCCAACATTTAAGACAACCAAACTTTAGGCTTGAAACAATGCGCAATTCTTTTTTCCCATCAACTACAAAAATGTGGAATGACCTAGATATATCTATAAGGAATTCGGCTTCTCTCAGTTCATTTAAATCAAATATAAAATCAAAAGGTAAACCACAAAATAAATGCTTTCTGGTATGGGGTTCCCGTAAATCAAATATACTTCATTGCCGTTTGAGAAATCGTGCGAGCTCCCTTAACTATGACCTATTTAGAGCAAATTTATCAAATACAGCTGAATGTGCATGCGGTAATCCATGTGAAGACTCTTATCACTTCCTTTGTGTCTGTCCCTTATACACCCAGCATCGCAATCTATTAATAAGAGAGCTTCAACCTGTTCGTGATGATTTAACTTTAGACTTGCTCCTATATGGCGATCCTAAATTCAGCATTAATGTAAATACCTCAATTGCAAAATCTGTCCAAAATTATATCAGCAAATGCAACAGGTTTGACTGAATGTGATCATCTTTCTCTCTCTATCACTCTTTTTTTTCTCCGACTCTACCTGTGTTACTATCATTTACTTCATTACTCTATCCGTCTTTTCTTCCACTCTATTTTTCATCTACTCTATCTGTGTTACTATCCTTTACTTCGTTTCGCTCTCCTTCTTTTCTTCGTCTCTATTTTCCATTTCCATATAAAAACATAATTAATGTATATTGCGTAAATTACCTTATCAAGTTATTGTTTATATTCATGTATTTGAAGAAAAGGACTTTGATAAGTTGGTAAAACTTGTGTCCAATTCTTTTGTAAATATTTATTTGCAATAAAATATGTTTAAATCAAAAACAAATTGATTATTAAATGTGGTATAATATAAGCTATGTATATTTTACAACAATTACGAAATACGTTATTCCAGCTCTCACTTATCACCCTTGTTGGGCCGGATGGAAGCGCATATAGGGTCGTAATGTGTCAAAATGGAATTCCCGAAGAAACCCCAAGTTTGGTTTCCGTATTTATTTGCATGCACAATATCAATGCTGCTCGTCGTGACTTACAAAAATATCAACCGCCTTAAAATTCGCAAGCAACTAGAGCTTGTTTTGTGAGAAAGATTTACTGCAGCCAACGTTAACGCATGACGTTGTTTTATACTGGAAATGTTATTTTGATTTACTGATAAATATGTGTCTAAGCTCTATGGCGAAAACCTTTTCTCACGCAATTTCGACTACACGTAAAAAAAACCGTAAGGTGATGTCTATGACTTTGAACAACAATCCCGTTTCTAACTGTTTCGTCAGAAAAATGTGATAACGTAGTCATTTAACGTCAATGTACCCAAATCGGGACACTTTTTAGATAAATATCAATGTACTTTATACCATAATATCAGTTCCAAGAATGTTTGTTCATTTTTCATAAATAGATACTATCCACTTTTCAATTCTATCACAATTTGATATTTCGGCCGCTTGGTTCTATAAAAAGAACGCGAAATACCATCAGAGTTACGTAGGCTCTTGAACCGGCGTTACTGTATCCTGAAAGAGACACTTCCGGTATTTTGGCGAACGACAGAAAATATGCATAGTTGAAATATTTTAGAGTCAGCGAGGGTTCTGATTAAATTACCTCTTCAAACTAGCATAAGTTTTGAAAAAATAGACCTTTGAAAATGATATCCAAATAAATAGCGTCGCACGGCACGGCACGTAAAGCAGAACAGTCTTGTTTTGATCATTATTCTTACCTTTAAATTGTCCATGTAATGACAATCAGCAGCCAATATTTACATTCTGTATGCTTAGACCCATTGACAAAAATTACATTCATAAATGCATAACACAGGTGTTCATAGAATCTCAGCACGTGGGAACTGATAGTAACCTGATCACACTGCGTAGTAATACACTACAAAAACTACTCACTCGGAACGACCGAACTAGATGCTTAATTCTTACATCTTAAAATATTATTGAACTGTGCTTTGTGAAATATCCACGTATTCACGTGTCCTGTGCTACAAATAAACATTGAATATGGAACTACATTTTGTTGTGTTATTGTTGTTGACGGTTGCTAAGATCTCTCACGATAGTGTCACATTTCCCCGCGAAAAAACACTGTTCTCGCCACTGCGTTGCACCCGTGTATAAGCAGGAACAAACCCTGTTTATTTGTTTTATTCGTTGTTATATCGATCCACTGAAAGGATTCGTCAATGTAAATATAAGGAATGATATTTATTTTTTCAACATTTATGAGGTCATAACAACAATGGGTTTTTGGACATATTTTACATGAATCGCTAACGCGATTCATTCAATATGTCCATAAACCCATTGTTGTTATGACCTCATAAATGTTGAAAAAATAAAAATCATTCCTTAAATAAAACTTAAAACAGTTTAATTGTCATAAAACGTATTATCAAATGAAAACTATCTACATAAAAGTACTTCTTTGCAATAAAATAAGAACTTCCTCAGTAGTCAACTACTTTCAAAATTGAAAATCCCACATCCCACCTTTGGGTAACACGGCTCACATTGTTGTGTATCAAATACCTACATTTATTCAAATAAGTCAAGAACACCTATATAAAATATGGTGTATGAAAGAAGTCAGGCAGGCAAATAACTGTTAACAAATCTTAACACATGCATAGAAGAGGAGTAGTGAACATAAACTTTACCTATAACTGAGGTATACAAATAATAGGAAGTGTAGCCTGGTTATATAGTTTACCGGATATACAGGTACTTATATAGCCCATGTTTCGTTCGCGGGTTTTCCCCGGAATATAGGTGCAATTTCCTGGCCACATATTGAAAGAAACTCGAACTCCTTACATTCCATCGCTCACAAAGTTTGCGGTAGACGTATGTGGTATAAGGGCTATATTCTGTGGGCGATGTTTTCTAACCATATTGATAGAAATTTGAATTAATGTGCTTCTTGTTCAGCACGAAAGCCAGCGATAGTTCTCTTTGCAAGGTTGCGCTCTCCCGATAACGCCAATTGGAAAATAGCATCCAACCTACCTTTCGCTCCACCAACGACAGAATGGTATGTCTGTGTTAATATATGTTTTTTAATATAAGATGGCATAACATACAAATTTATTTATCTATAGTCAGTAACAAGTGTGTTTTTGGCCGAACTAGTGTCGCCCGGATGTATATTGACCAGTAAATAATGCCACCCATTTCCATGAGCAGGGGTCAATCAGGTGTCTGTAAATAGTAACGTATTGACGGTCACTCGTCCCTTAGGACATGGAGTGACGACCTTGTAAACCGGCACAT